CTCGGCTCCCCGATGGTACTTGGACGGCAGGTCCGTGCGGTGACGACCCGGGCGCCGGTCTCTGACACCGAGTGGATCGTTGAACCTTAAACGATCGCGGCTGTCCAATAGCGCAAGATCGTCCGATGTCGGCCGATTCTGGGCCTCGGCGGCGTTCAACATTGAACGCCTGCGCCGGGGTCGCCGCTTCCTCCCCCCTCCTCGTCCTGCTTCCTCATCCTTCCTCGCTCATTCTCCTTTCCCCACCCTCCTCGTCCACCCTCCCCCCCTCCGTCCTCCATCCTCGCTCCTCTCCCCTCCTCGCTCATCCCTCCCTCCTCTTCCAGGAGAGCCCGCGCTGGAGCGGAGCGGCGCGCCGGCACGACACGACACCCGCAGTGCTCCCTCGCCCACGCCCACGATTGCGCCTCCAAGACCGTGCCAACGCCCGCGCATGGGCCTGCAGGCCCCGCACGCTCGGCCGCCTGCGCCTGAGTCTCCGCCCTCCTCCTCCTCCTCCTCCTCCTCCTCCTCTTCCTCCTCCTCCTCCTCCTCCTCCTCCTCCGCCAGGAGGAGCATTGCGGAGGCGTCGGCGCAGGAATCCTCCTCTTCTCCCCCCATCGGCTCTCGATGGTCCATCTTCCTCCTGCTCCACCTCATCGATTATTGATCCTCCATCCTCATCCTCTCCCTTCTCCTCCTCCTCCTCCTCCTCCTTCTCCTCCTGCCCTTCCTCCACATATTTCACCTCCTCCCCCTTTTCCTCCTCTTCCTCCTCCTCCTCCTCCTCCTCCTCCTCCTCCTCCTCCTCCTCCTCCTCCTCTTGCTCTTTTTTTGCTCTCCTGCTCCTCCTGCTCCTGCCTGCTGCTCTGCTCTGCTCCTGTTCTGCTCTGCTCCTCTCCTCCTGCTCCTGCTCCTCCTCCTCCTCCTGCTCCTGCTCCTCTCCTCCTCCACCTCCTCCTCCTCCCTCCTCCTCCTCTTCCTCCTCCTCCTCCCCCTCCTCCTCCTCCTGCTCCTCCTCCCCCCCTCCTCCGTTGCAGCTGTTGACTCAAATCTTCAAATCCCACCAGCCCTCTGGGCGTAGGTGGTCTAGAGCAGATCCTCTTCCACCCCTCCCTCTTCCCCCTTGGGGAGGGGTTTACCCCTCCCCCTACCCCCTCCCCTGGACCTGGACGGGGGGGGCCGCGGGTAGTTAGAGCGTCCAAGATGGCCCAAGACGGCTCCAAGAGCGCCTCAGAGAACCCAAGATGAGCTCCAAGATGGCTCAAGATAGCGCAAGATCGCTCACGATGGCTCCTAAGATGGTTCCAAGAAGCCCAAAGACGGCCCCAAGATAACTCCAAGTGGCCAAACAGCTCCCCAAGGAGGCCCCGAAGAGGCCAAAATCGTCCCAAAACCTAAGGAAAATCAATGATTTTTGCTTTCTCGCCTTTTCGCTTCCGATGGCCATCCGAGGCCTGGAGATGGCTCCAAGATGGCCCAAGAGGGCCCCAAGAGAGCCCCAAAAGAGCCCCAAGACGGCCCCAAGAGCGCCCAAGAGCACTCCAAGAGCGTTCCAAGAGGGGTCCAAGAGGCGATTTTAGGGGCTTCCGAGGGGGGACGCTAATTAAACCCCCCCTCTTGTTTGATCGACTCCCTCCAAGATGGCCCCAAAAGCGCCCCGAAGGCTCCCCAGAGCGCCTCAAGAGGGTCCCAAGAGGCGCCCAAGATGCCCCAAGGCGCCCAAAAAGCCCTCCAAGAGGCCCTCAAAAGACCCCCAAGAAGCTCCTTCCCCTCCTCCTCCTCCTCCTCCGATTCTTCCTCCTTCTCCGTCCTCCTCCTCCTCCTCCTCCTCCTCCTCTTCCCCCTCCTCCTCCTCCTCCTCCGACGACGACGACGACGACGACGACTCCTCTTCCATCCTCCCCCTCTCGGGGTCTGTGACAGCTTCCCCCGCCCTTTGTTATTCTGCATGCTCCCCGACTTCCCTGATCACCTCAACTCCCCTGAGCATCGTTTCTGGATGGGCTGGTGGGGATACGCGAAGCGTCAACAATTTCCCTGACAAAGTGGATACAGCTAGTCCGCGGCCAGACCAAGTTGCAGTCGGCCTGTCCGCCTAGGTCAGGATAAGTGCACCAAGTGCACCGACGTTTTCTCATTCAGCTTCCGGTGGCAATGCGAAGCCTCTCAATCGGCACGCCCAGCGGCGTCGCGAGGCTGCGGAGGACTGATGCGGCAAATGGTGTATCCACCTTACCACGGGGCAGAAGTGGTGGACGAGGGCAGATAAGGTGGCGTGCGGGATGTGTGGGGCGCCCAAACCCGCCAGCTTCGTCCACGCACGCCCGCTCCAGTCAAGAAGGAAAAGGGGACCGTTTCAGCAATCGCGCTGCCATGGCTCACCACCAAGATGGCCAAGATGAAGAAGCAGTTGGCCACTGCCAGCGCTCAAATCGCCAACCTCACCACTGCGGCGTCGCAGTGTACGGAGGCCAAAGCCATGGAGGCGGGCGATGGCAGCCGCCAGGCGTCCGCCCCCGACGCTACCGCGATCCAAAAGAAGGCCAGGCTGGAGGATTGATCGCTCGCTCAAGTCCACTGTCGGAATCCAGGAGCCCATGTTCGCTGGTGCCTGTGACAATCTCACAGCCGAGCGCAAACGTTTGCGGGCCGAACTCGGGTCGAACAAGCCAATGCCCGCGCAGCTGCGGACCATCTCGCTTCAGCTGGCGAAGTTGCAGCAGTATAAGATCAAGCACGAGGAGTCGCTGGTCGCGGCGCAGGAGAGCCTGGAGGCCGCGAAGCGTGCAGCGTGCTGCGTAGGAGCAGGAGATGGCAATCGAGGGGGTCGACCGCTCCATCGCGTCGCTCACCGCGGAGCAGACGCGCCTGGCTGCTTCCATTCCGCGCGCGCCTGGCGATGGCAAGTCGCCCGAGGAGGACGTCATCGAGGCGCTGGGCATCACTGTGGGCAAGCCCGGGGCGGTGCTCGGCAAGCTCGGCGACGATGGCTCGCTGGCGACGTGGCTGGGTGCCGCGCTCGAGGAGGCCAGGGCGCCGGAGCAGCGCAAGCGGCAAAAGGCCGCCTCTGTCACCGCGGCCGCCGAGGCCAGGGAAGCTGCTGACGCCAAGCAGCCAGGCGCGCCGCCTGGCCAGGCAGAAGCAGCCAAAAGCACAACCTGACCTACCAGATCCAGATCAAGCACCCGAAGAAGGTCTTTCAGACTTCCTCGGGCCTTTCGGAGCCACTGCCCATGCTGAGGCAGCAGAGGCCGCGATATGAGGCCACGTCCGTAAGATCAACGAGATGATTGGAGGGTCCAAAAGAAGCCACGAGTGGAGCAATAAGATGCTGCTGTCGATGTGGATATTGTTTATCTCGTGGCTGCCGTGCCGCGCAAGCACCAGGTCGCTCGGCGCTGTTGATGGCAGCTTTCGTGTCAACCCGTTGCTGCAACATGGGGCCCACGCGAGGGTCAGCGAGATGCAGCCGCATGGCCACGCGCCTGCTGTGCGCCGCGAAAGCGGGGCTTCCCTCCTAACTCGGGCTCGAGGCGGGGGGGGGCGGAACCGCGCCCGGCAAGGCTGGGAAGGACAGAGCTCGTCAGGCTCGGTCCGCTCGCAGGCGCCGCCTTCTGTCGGCCATGGAGGCTCGGCTCGCCCGCGTTGACGGGGCTAGAGCAGCTGGAGCTGCCGCGCCGAGCTCGGGCGTGTCCGTCGACTTCGGGCACAAGTACGTCTCCCGCCCCGGTTGCCCTGCCTGGGCAGAAGAGTGGCCGCTACGCTCGCGACAGAGCTCAGAGAGGGCCAGGCGCCTGTCCTCGCGCTACATTTGCGCAGAGCGGGCGGCCACTGCGCCGCCCAGGCGAGTCGGCTGGGGAGGGGCCATCTTCGGCGCCTACTACTTGCGAGCAGGTGAAGGGCACGCTGGTCAGCCCCAACTGCTCCGAGGAGGGCCTGATGCAAACATTCCTCGCGCCATGCATGCCCGCAGTCGTGGTCTTGCAGGAGCACCACGTGCCGTTTTGTCGAAGCTAGCAGATGCCCAACATCGCGCCTTGGATGCCGGGTAGCGCGGCGCCTGGGCGGCAGCCCAAGCGACAAACAACCAGGATGGCGCCGAGGCTGGCTTGGCTTTCGTCGCGCAGGGCAACCGTTTGATCGCGGCGCCCCTGTTCTCACCGTTGGACGAGAAGGCGGGCGGCAGGGCTTCGGCAACTCATGTTGATTTTGGTGTGCCACTCGGTCTCGCCACGATTACGCTATACACGGTCTCGGAGGCGGTCTGGCGCAGCCGCCTGTCAGTACATGTCGCCAGTCTCTGCCAGGTTGGACTATTGACTACTATACGATATCTACTAATTTGCTTCCGCGCACTCGCATGGCCATGTTCAGGAGGACATCGAGACATTCCCTCGCATGAAAACTGTGCTTCAGATGATGGGAAAAGACGTGGTGCTGAAGAGTCCTGTTTCGAAATGGCCTCGCCAAGTCCCTCGCCGGCCCGCCGTCGGTTGTTCCAGGCGCCAAGTGAGCTGGCATAAGGCGGAAGAGCTCATCGACAATGCGCACGACG